AAATTGTCATAGTCTTGTTCAATAAACTTAAACAAATGAATTAAGTTAAAAACCCGCTGAATTGGCTTAATCTGCTAAATTCATAAATCATAGCTGAATTATATAAAAATTATCTTAATTCAGCAAACTCAACTGAATTCAGCAAAAATAATAAAATCCAACTAGTCAAGCAATATCGCCTCTGCCATGCAGATTCACAACCCAAAGAATTTACAACTTGCTCTTTTAACTTCAATTCATTTTGCATTTAAGCACAAGAAGTGCGGAAAATGGGAAAGCAAAAAGAAATATTAACGCTTGTTAAATTTGAAGTATAAGCTGTTAAATGTTATGACTTTGACAAAAAAGCAAAAGAAAGACTCCTATTGATACATAATAAAAGGAAGTGCTTATTGAGTTTAACAAATAACCGCTATTATGTATTCCTCACTGACTAAAAACCCAACCGAAATAATATAATAGAATAAAAATTTTCCGCTTATTTTCATAGAAAGAAAACTCAATTTGTTTAATATGTTTTGTTAGGGGCTATTAGTGTTAGGGAAAGAAGAATTTTATTTATTGTTATAATAATATTGTTGAACAAATACAAAAATCCCATCAAATTATGTTGAAGCACGTAGAAATGTTATTTTGCGTAAGAAATTAAAATTTCACACTTCTGCATAGAACATTAGAGAAAATTTCCATTCCAAATGATTCGTGCGACCCAGTACGAATTGGACCAAATAATATCTTGAATTTATATTTTTTTTTTCAAAGTTATTCTTCTTTCTTTGTTTACAAGAAAATTTAAAATTTTTTAAATCCTTAAAAATTCCTTTTTTAAGCAAAGTTAAGATTTCTTATGATTATAAAACGCTTTGCTCAGTAAAAATAAATCTTTTGTAATCTTTTTATCTAAAGAGAAGTGAACATTTAGGCGAAAAACTAAGCAAAAAGTTTCCATGTGAAAATTTTTTTTCCCGCTAAAACTTCTTATTCAATCATCAAATTTCATTATTCTGACTGGGTAGACACGTATGTAATTTTTGTGAAATGAACGAGTGAAAATTTTCTTCATTTCAACACTCGGTAATAAGCATTAAATCATTTTATCCGCGAACTTATGTGGAAAGTAATACGTTTATACATCTAGATCTATCTCTATCCGCGTTGTCTGTATTTTTATGTGAGGTAAGTAACTTTCATAATTAACATTTTTCTCATTATTTTCATTCAAAGTTATAACTAGGTTGCTTCCTTTATGTATGTGATAATATCACTTTCCCTTCATTCTAGCACATCGGTTATAAGCCATGCTTTAAATAAGGAAATAAAAAGGAAATTAAATAAACATGAAGAATTTTTGAAAACAGGAAGTTTTTTCTTCCGATTTAAGAAGACTAAGTGTTGTTGCTCGTAGTAGTAGATATGGCTATGAATGAAAAGAAAGAATTAAGCTTGTGTCTATTTGGTAAGAATAAAGCAAGAAGCCCTTCTTTTATAGACGTTCAAAATCGCTTATAATAATCATAAATATACTATGACGTTTATTGCTTGGAATTGCATAATAAATTATTTCAAAATTCAACTTAATGAAATGTTTCACACTCTGCCTTTTCGTCCTCATCCTTCTTGTTACTTTAAATAACATTTCAGTTTCATTATATTTAATTAGAGTTTCAATGCGGAGCATTTATTAGGAGGGTTGGGGATGTTTTCATGTATATTGAACATTCTTTTTACTTTAAAAAATTTTTCTTTCTTGCTGGTATCACTTTCTTGTGCTTGCTTCATAGCTTTTCACTTTTGTGAAAATAATTCATGATTTTGTTTCTGTAATTATACCTGTAAACGTTTCCAATTACAATTAACTCAAATGACAAGTGATTCATTACAAGCACATGAACCAATTATGGCCGAAAATTATTTTTACTTTATGGTTGTGCTTAAATAAACTTATTAATTTCGACGACACTTTTCAATACGGAAATGTTATTTATTTTCATTTGATTGTCTGTTTTATATGTCTGTCAGGCTGCATATACTATTCATATTGAATGGATTTATAGCTCTTGTAAAGCAGTCATCAGATAAGTAAAAATTAATATTATAGAACCATTACCAAAATGCTCTAATTGCTCATCATTGTTATTGAAACCAATACTGAATTCAAATCATTCAATATTTGTCATTAATTGAATTGATATCAGCGAAAAGTGCGCTATTAAGTGCGACAATTCTCATTACCAGTGATTATAAAATAAACACTAAAAATACTGAAGTTGAATGTTATCAATAAAGAACATAATTTGATATTAAATATTCATGTAAACGTGCGTGAATAGCATGGAGGTTCATAGGGGATGAAAAAAAAACAGTTTGCAATGTGATTTTGATTTATACAAAACATTGCAGAGTGCTAGCAAGTGAGTGAAAAATGTTATCTCACAAATGACACTCAATATTGCACTTTCGAAAACCATAAAATCAACGTACGTAAACTATTTTATTTGTATAGAAATTTAATTTTCCATGAAAATAGATGTGAATTTAAATGGTAAATATGCATGCACACATATATATGTATGTATTGAGTCCATGTGGAATGAAGATAGAAACGCTCATTTGCAAATATTTATTCCATCATTAATTCAATTTTAATATCTATCGCTTCTCGCACTTAGTAAAATTTCTAAACTTTGAACAGTGAAATGAAGAAAACTTCCGAATATCCGAAAATATTTTTTTTATATCCCCTTTTCCTTCCACATTCATGTCAATGAATGACATGTTACTGAATGAATTTGAATTAAATCACTCATTAGATCATTTAGAATTTGAATAACATGAATTTTTCTGTCTGTTTTTACTTCGCCTACTGCTAGCTAGCTGCCTATGAGATATATGCACATTTCTAAAATATATTTAAATTTAATGTTGTACCCATAAAAACACAAAATCTATTTTGAAATTGACTATGCGGTTTTCAGTGCATCTCATAGCTCAATTAATTTTAAACAAAAATATTTTGGATGCAGTAAATATTCATATAAATATGGTCGTGGAGCAACAAAATTCATCTTTTTTCCCGTATGCAGGGTGTGAGTTCAATAAAGCCAGTTGGGAATAATTGCCGCGTATTTCAGTTCATGTCTAAAGCGCCTTTTGAATGTAAATTTTATTGATGGCATAGCTTGAAAGTTAAAGATCCAAGTAGAAAGATGTGAATATGGCAATGCCATCAGCAAATATGAGTTTCAGTCTACAAAACTGCAACTGGATATCTAGTAAGAACACTCTCAAATTGCGAAATAGAAAAATCCACAAAACTCAGAACTAAATGCCCCATTCACCGATTGAAAAGATTTAATTTGCCTTAGTTGGTCTATTAAGTCGTAAAATTTATATTATTCTGCTTGAAATTACTTCAATTCTTTGATTTCTTCCAGAAAATCTCTGCTATGCATAAATTGATTATCTTGTAGAAAAATACTCTGAAAATTCAATTAAGCTGGCATAAAATTTTATTATTAAATGAACTCAGATTTACAGAAATAGAAATAGCTTCAATCAATGAACTTCCCATTCTATATTGAATATTTTGAACTATTTACATAAACAGACCTGCTTGTTTGATTTGTGAACTGAATAATTAATAAGACTAGAAACCAAACAACATTAACAAGACCAAAGTGATAAATGAGAACAATTCATGATAGTGAAAGTGCTAAAAGTTAAAAAAAAAAATCCCACAGTGCACAACTATGAATTATGATGATTATTGATACAAAAGAATTAATATTATTTTCATTTGATGTGTTTTTTTGAACTACAGTTTAATGGATATTGATTTGCAGTATGTGTGAATGAATGAATGTATGATTTTTGATGTTTATGGAATGTGAAGGTATTTAGAGAAGGCTGATCAACAGTTTTTGTATTTATCAGCTATGTTTGCATCAATTATCGAAATATCAAGGGTTGGTATAGTAGGTATTGTTTGGAATTTGAATCACATCTACCTACACATTCAATGTCCAATAACTCAAATAATCCTCAGGAAAAATCAGCAGAATTCCATAGAACAAGAAGCAATTTTCATCAGACAGATGTACAAAATCATAAATTTGTCATCAATCTAGCAAGAGTGAATATAAATTTACAACTGCCCTGACTCAATTCACAAGCCTAATAAAAAATGCAACAGTGTTGAGTCATTTTAGCACACTTGGTCATCGTCATGCTTTAAAAATATTTGTAATAAAAATATAAAAAGAGACAACTTTAAAATGCTGTAAGCAGTAAGCAATACAAAAGACGTATAAAGCGTCATCCATAACTCATGCAGAAAAAACTCATCAAATATGAATTTCAATAAAAACGGAAAACTGAACGGAAAGAAATTTTTCATGAGACGAAACCGTCAGAGCATCATCATTGGTACAATAGGATGTCGTTGAATCTCAAATTATGAAAATCTATATGTAGAGCAATAACAACGATTATCTACGGCTGCAAATGTTCCTAATGACATCATATATCTTTCACTTTTATTCTTTTACAAAAGGAGATATTAATGACGCTATTAAAAATATTTTACAAGAACAGAAAATACGACAGGAGACATCCACACACATATATATAAGATTATCAGGTATTTTTTTCGGATAAGGATGAAAATAGACAAAGGAAGGAACGCAAATGGGAGTGAGAGAAATTATGTGCTGTTAACAAACGATTTGAAAATGATTACTTGAGATTTGTACGTGAAATAAATTCAGCATCTAGCATATCTAGAATATTGTGCGTGAAAATATTTCGACTACAATGGAATTAATTAAATTCCTCTGTTGATATCATTACAAATTTGTTTAAAGGCTAGGAATTAAAGGGAGATTAAAAAACTTTTTTTTTTGACGCGGGATGAGGATAATTAAAGTCGTTACACTAATTTGCTTGCTTCTCTTGACATTAAATGTCAATTGTAGGATTGAAAAAAGAATAGAATTGAAAATTTATTTAATTTGTGCTTTATTCAAATTCTTTCATGTTTTTTTCATTCTTGTGAGGTTGTAAGTTCAATAATTCGTTAATAACATTTGATTCTTTTTTCAATGATATGATTAAGATTCTCTATGCGTATTTTAATGTAATTATATTACTTGTATATTCCCAATACTCTATATCTTAATATTATCTGCATACATTTGCATCATCAGCCGCACATGATGTATTTCCATGTGATGGAGCGAGAAACAATCGGCCGTTCTCGCAAATGCATACTTGATAAAATTTATAGTCTGTCGAGCGGTCTGGCTTTGATTTCTCATAATAAGAAGGCGGTCGAGTTGTTTTCATATTTGATACTATGATACCTTCAGCATCAAAGCGAATCTAATGATTATGGTGTTTTGCATAAATTATTTTATATCGAATTGTTTAATTAAAAATCCTTTAAAACTTACATTTTTTGCGCGCAACGTAATATCCTCTAAGCTTGAAGCCTCTATGCTACCAGCACGCGACTGAATGAAAAGCTCTTGTGATGCCTGCATTTCTATTGAACGTGTTGGGGACTCGAGTCTAAATAAATTAATATAATAAAATTACAATTAAGTTTAACTTTTAAATATGCATTTTGATTATTTATTACTTTAAATCCTGTCCTGGCTCTGCCTTTACTATTGGTGTTTGGATTGAGTTTCTGAAAATAGTGTGATGGTTTAATAGTTTTATTCTTTTGTCTCGAGAGTTGGACTTTATTTCTAGGACTAGAGTAACAGGCATATCTAATAACTTACTCGAAAATTAATCCACCATCCCCCTCGATCCTGAGCTTATCAGCAGCGATTTCAACTAAATCTCGATCAACATAAAACAACGTCCTTCCATAAGGATCTGTAACTTTGAATTTTTTGGCATGTATCTCGAACTTGTCGTGTCCTGTGAATTTTTAATAGTTCAATTTTAAGGTCTTAATAATTTAGTTGAGTTGTAAAGCTTACCAAGGAATAATTGATTTTCTACCTCCCCATCTGAGTCTCTTGTGTTGAATGTTAAGTTTCTTGAAGACTCTGTGAGATTTTAAGGACAATTTATGACAAAAAGTACATAAACCTTAGAGAAAAAGGCTACTAACCAAATGTCAACGGTTGCCCATGTCTTGACTTAATATGTGAGGTCTTCAATTCATCTAGAATAATCGCTTGTCCTTCCAACTGTATACCTCCCTCAACTATTCTCATTTGACCCATTCCATCCTTAAAATAATATGTGTGTTCATGTGTGATATGATTCACTCGTACGTTAATATGAAGTAATAACAAATGAAGAGCATTAAAATGTTTTTAGTGTACAAAAAGATGATGATGGTTGATGAGGGCAATAGCATACATTATTATATAATTAGCTCCAAAGTCCCCCACACATATACTCTCAAATAGTCCTCAAACAATATCATCTGGATATTTCGCATTCTATTAAATACGTGTCATGTTTTAAAACAAAAAAAAAACTAAAGCTTTAAAAAAATAATATTGAGGACGGAATGAATGAAAACTTTTGGGAATTAAAATATAGAATATGAGATTTTTATGTCTCTCATAAAAATGTCACGTTTCATTAACTCTTTATAATTCTCCTTTTGAAATGTGAAATTTGCCTATGGTAAGGATGTTATGTCTTTCCTGAATATTACAACATTTTTTTGCTCTCATTCTGTTATGAATTAATAGAAAAAAAGTTGCATTTTTCCAGTTCTATTGAAAAACCATTTTAAAGCTCTTCATTTGTTTGTAGAAAATTATTTAATACCTTTGATACTTCCAGAACCTTAAGCACCCATAATGTAAGGGCTAAATTGATTGATATTAATACCATAAGTAGAAATATAATGAAATAAAGGCATTGCTTTCTCCATCCATAGATTGCATTCTTGTTATTTCCACCATTACTTCCCACCATCCCTCGTTGATTCTCTTGTATTTGTTGATTGTTTTGATTAGAACTTGTATAAGTCTGATTATTATTCTGCTCCACAGTTACTGCTCGCTTTCCCATCATTTATTTCCGTTTTTATTACATGAGAGTTTATGCTTCCTGTAAAACACAGAGGAAAGACGATGATGATGAATTTCTTTCGTACATCTGATACTTTTCATAACTGAGAATGTCTATTAAATACAGGTTTTCCACTTCAAATGGATATAAATGAAAAACTTTTTGACAATCACTTTCTCTCCTCCTTTATGACAATAACGGATTCGTGCTCTCATTTTTAAATTCCAGGTGAAGACATGAAAAAATTGTTTTTTTGAGATACAAGACGAAATTGAGCACAAAAAAGCTTGGTTAATGTAAAATATGTGTACATAAGGTAATGCAAATTCATAACACAAATGGACTTATTAATGTTACATTTTTAACATCCCGCATGATGCCATTAAGCAATTGTACTTCTTCCTCAACATTTTTTTCGTGTACATACAAAAAATGTTTTTGTTGTTGTTTGCCAAAAGTACTAAAATGTGTTTTAAATATTTTTTTTTTGTGGTAGCAAGGACAACACCTTGTAGAAATAAAGGCGATGAAATACGAGAAAAATCCATGTAGTTTAAGCCTGGAGGTTCTAAGATCACGGAATTTTGGGAAAGTTTTAATTTTTTTGTGGGTCTTTAGGAGATATCTAGATACAGATGAAGCTCAGGAACGTGGTTGGTCAAAATTTTATAAAATTCGGATATTGAAGAGCTTCATATTTTCTATAGGGACAGTTAAACACAGGACTATCAATGACAATATAACAGGACACATTTAATTTATTATTTTGAGAAATTTATCATGAATAAACATTTTTAATCACACCAAAACCGCAAAAATCCAAACCGCACTAGAACCACTATTTTGCATACAGAAATATTTTTGTAAATCATCCGAAAAAGAGCAGTAACATAATGATCTTTTTGGATTCCCTCGTGTGCAATATTTTGTTGTCGTTGTATACATTTCATAAAAATATATTCAGGACTTTTTAATGTAAACATCCACAGATATGGAATGTACATGCATATAATAATAATAGTAGTTTTGCCCTTTTTCTAAACTTCTAAAAATCAAACTAGATTACATAAAATATTTGTAAATATTTAATCCATTTGGAAATTGAGAATTCTCATAATTTTATCTAAAAGATGATTATTATAACTATGTAGAATTTTGATGAAGGTAGTCATTGTCATGTACCTGTGTGTGTCCCAATTCTTTAATTCCCTAATGCGTATTATAAATGTCATTATATTTGAAAATGAGAAAGCTCTAAGATTGAGAAAGTTTTTAACCCCTTTACACTAGTGCCAGACTGTACATATTTTATCAGCTTGCCATAAAAACTTCAACAAATCCACTTACTTGAAGTTCACACACCCTTTTTAGCTTAGTTATGTTTCTATCTATTGTGATTAGACACTTTTATAAATAAACAAATAATTTCATCCTAATTTATAAATATTTATGAGACGAGTAATGGAAATTACTGCTGAAATCACAGCTAATAAATTTAATGGCTTGTAAATAATTTCCTTAAGAGAAAGTGGTTTTGGATGGGACTTAATTTTATTTCGGAGTGAGTTGAACACAGTTTGGGATTCTGAGTCATCCAAAATACAGCTCTAGACACTACGATAACACTTTTGTCGATCGGAATATTAAAGTTCAACTCACTTACCCAAGTTTAGTTCATTAAGTTCAAACTATCACCTCAAAAGAATTTAATCCACAATGTCTGACAAAATAACAGCAAGGGAATTGTTCTAATTACGATGTTTGAACTCAAATATTGAGAATATTTTGATCACCTGAGAAGCAATTTTTTACGAGAAAATTTCGTGCGAGAAAAAAATTACGATTTTCCACTCAAGGCAAAGTTTTTAAAAATAGAAATATTTACACTATAATTAATTGAACTAATGACCATGCAAATGCTTAGTCTTATTAAAAAGTTTTGCACAATAATTAAATTATTTTCTTTATCACTAAATATCCACTTAAAATTTTAATAATCGAATAAATTTTCTACCGATAAGACTTTTCAAAATTGTTCAACCTGATGATCATTCAGCAAGACACTAAGAAATTTTTTTTCTTTCTCCTCTCAAAAAATTCATTTTCATAAAAAAAAATCTCAATTTTTTCTTCTCAAAAATTTTCACATAAAAAAATGTTTTTTTTGTGTGTTCAACTGAGAGTGTTTTAATTATAAAAATGTTCTTTTTGTGACGTCATTAAGTGCTCCTATTTTTAAAATTACTCAATTTTCTTTCTGAATTTAAAAAAAATGTTTTTTCTTTTCTTTTCTTCTTGAAACGTGATCTGCATAATTTAGTGAGAATTCTATGCTTGATATATGTATTATTTTGTTGTGTAGTATTTTTAATCGCATTACCTGTTGTTGGTTGATCTTTGATGACGATCTCGGTTTACTTCTTGCCTTTATAATGCATATGAATTAATAATTATGATGATTTTTTGCACAAAATAACTTTCGATGAATGAAAGAAAATATCGAATCAAATATTCCGTTTGTACTTTATGTATTAAGTTTTATAGCATCATAGTCATATGTATAGATTTAAATTATGTAGAGATGACCTTCTCATAATCTGATTTCGTTGTTACTTATTTCATTAGTTTCCATTAACCACTGTTCTTGTCCATACATCAGACTTGTTGGGATGTATGACTTCTTAGAGATGATTTTTTTTTTCAAGAATGGAAAGACAAACTTCCCCTCTTAAAAACAACAAATTATTCACTTTGTGGAATTAAGTCTTGTTCATTTAAGATTTTTTCTTCTTCTCAAAAGACATTTTACTGTTTAAACAAATTTGTTCATAAATTATTCATCATAAAAACATCATCATCATCATCATTATTTTTTAAGAATCTTGTATTTATATTAAATCTTTAATTAATGGTTTAAATATTTATGCTGTGCTTTTTGTGTTTTTGACGAGAGAAAAAAATGAAAAAAATTCAAATTAATTCAAAAAGCTTTTATTTCTTTCACTCTATCGTGTCTTTTAATGTTCTACATACAATCGGCCTGTTTTGTTTTACTTTAAGTCAGAGTTGATGATTAGTTTTGAAATAATTTTATTAAGACTTTGACGGTTTTTAAGATGAATTTCAAATTTCACTATCAATTTATTAAAACTATTTAAAATTCTGCAATTCGAATTTGAAGATATTTAAAAAATCTGTAGACACAGTTTTTAATCAAACATTTAAGACTTTAAGCAACGATCCATGTGACCCTCGATCGATTTTTTTTATTAGACTTTCAATAAACTTTTAAAGATCATGGAGAAATAAAAAAATCCACTAATTGAATTCACACATAATGAAACAATAAACCCAACTGACTCATAAACATATAAACCAGAGGTCGAAGCCGACATGAGTTCGCTCCGGTTCGCTAAAAAACCGATTCAAAATTGAATAGATTTTTTTTTGCTGCCACTTGTGAAGTATAACATTCTATACAAATTTACCGGTTATCGAATCGGTTTTTTAGCGAACCGGAGCAAACTCATGTCGGCTTCGACCTCTGATATAAACTCATTCACATGAATAATACCTTAATTATAAAAATCAAGCAACTGTCAACACCAACTCTGTGTAGAATACTTTTAAAAATGCGAAAAGAATTCTAAATTGTAAATTACTTCTCAACAAATGAGCTTCAATTATTTTTCATTTGACTTATTTCAACGCCTACAAATTATTATAATAATTTATATATGAATCTATGTGAGAGAATGAACATTTGTAGTAAATTAATCAATTCTTTTTCTCCTCACTCTATTCAACTATTTCCTTTACTATTCATTGTAATAATCACTGTTTACACACATAGTTCAAATAAATTTTTTCTGCTTGATTTATAAACAACACTAATGCTCTATAAAAAGATTAAAAAACACCTAAAATCATATCGGCATTTTTTGATCTTAACAATAACAACAACTTTGTTCAGTCTGGTGGTAATAAACACTAGTCTTTTAATTTGTATTAATTACATTATGCACGGAAACAAAATGAGCATTTTTGAGTATTTTTACTTCCTTAATACGGGTAAGGATATACTACATTTATTTTTAGGCTTGTTGTACAATCAACAAAAAAAAAACAATTTTATAAAGAAAAGTTTTAATTTTTTTTTATTTTTCAAGTTTTGATTTTTTGTTCCAAACTCATAGAACGCATAGACTATACTAAAATATTTTGATTGCACACTTTCAACTTGTGACTAGTTACATTCGTTCAGCAAGCATTCTTCTTGTCTTCTTCTGCTGTTCAATTTCCAGAAGCATGTTGGAAAATGATTTTCTCTCTCATTTTCCAGCTTTCCATTCCACACGATTTTTCCTTTCTTTTTTTTGTAGTATGTTTTGGTGTGTGGAAAAGCACGTGTTAAATAGCACTTGAATAACACGACATGTATATTGGGTTATTATGTTTGATTGATGAAAATATTATAACATTTTGACTTGCAATAATTTTTATTGTGTATTGTTATGGATTTTTGATGCCTGCTCAATTGCAAATAAATAGATGTTTTTTGGTTGGAATTGAAGATATTTTTCTTGAGATTTCTTTGGATTATTTAAGATCCTCGAAAAAATCGAACTTCTTCAAAGTGTCAGAGAATTTTAATTTTTCAATTCCAATAAAGAGAAATTTGTTTAAAATTTTATCAATTGCTTTGCAGTTTCTGTCCCTGGTTGACAAATAATTCCCATAACTTTTCGACCATTCGTACAACTTTTTTATTTCACCGCAATTCTCTGTGAGAAAAAAAAATAGAGTCGTACACAAAAAGATGTTCAACTCATAGTTCATATACACAATTTTCCTAATAATAATCTTCTTATCACTATTTTGCAGAAGATGTTTGAGACATTCAGTTTAAGTTGTTCTTTCGCTTTTTTTTTCTTCCAGAATGCAACATTTTCTTGAGTGAAGTCACTACATATAAAATGATAGGATACATACAGGAGAGCGAAAAAAAAATCTTTTCATATAAAATAACATGATTAATTAAAGTACTTTATTATGCTTTATTTAAGAATGTTTTATGTGTTACAGGCAGTAATGTTGCGTTTAAACGATAGGGAGAATGAAAAAAAAATGGAATTGATAACAAGTGGAAAAGAAGATGAATGATTTAGCTACGTGTGAATCAATTAAAGGTGAAAATTGATAGACGGAAAAATTTAAATAACACAATCGGAAAAGAGCGATGGAAAAATGGAAAGTTCTCTTATTCTATTTGTGTCTTTAATGAACTCCACATCACATAAATGGCTTCAAGATATCTCCGGCAACTAAAAAGTCATCAATAAATAACGTGACATGAATGCATTGCATCCTTGAAAATCAAATATTATTATTGAGTTGTGATGTTAGAGATCTACTGACTTGTATAGCATTTTTTTCACCAGCACTATAGTGAGATGAGGAAAGAAACATCGTAAAGGAAAAAATTATATGAAGGAAGATAGAACGGATTGAAAAACTAACGCAACTTTGATTATTTTCCCGCCATAATAGTATTGTTGTTTTAAAAAAATTCGACTTTTAAGATAAGTTTAATAACAAAATAATGACAAAATCTTCTTTGCTCACAATTTATAAATCATTTAAAATCTCCTGGATGTTAATTAAGCAGGTAAATTGTCAAAATTTCGATTATAAAATCTCGATGTGAAAATGTAAACAAGAAATTATTTTCGTTCATCAAAAAGCTAAAATCTATCCAAGCACATTTGATTGAGAGATTGAACATAACTCAGGAGGAGTGAGAAATGTTATGAAATCACACAATAATCAATTTGAAATCCAACATATTTATTCCTTCGTGAATTTCACATACCTGTGGATGTGTTCAATTGTGAATCACATCCATATATAGACGATCGACAAAGCTTACAATGATTTGAGACAAGAGCAAGGATGAAAATAAAATGATTATTTTCCTGAATAATGTATTTATGTTCTACTCTCACGTGTACAAAGGAAAATAACACAAGCCTGTAATGTACTGAATTTTGATGGATTTATGTGTGTAAGACAAGATTGAATTGAATGTTTCCTTTATGTTATTTTCTTTCATATATAGGAGGGAGCTCTAACCTGACATACATCCCTGTATAAGAGGAAATCCAACAAATCTTTGTTACTTTATGAAAACATGGTTAAATTTTGCCGACGTACAAATACTGGGGGTCCTCGATTTGAGTAGATTCTATTTGAGTAGATTCGATTTGAACAGAAAATTTATTACCCACCAAAATATTCGATTTGAGTAGATTTCTTCCTGTTTTCTTCGATTTGAATTGTTTACAAAACAAATATTTTTGATAAAAACATTTCAGAAAATAATTTTAAAACATAAATTTTACTGCGATAAGCGTGAACTTATCATATTGATAGAAAAAACAATACTAAAGTTACAAAATTAAAGTAAAAATTTAAAAAATCTATATAAAATCAACGATTTTAAAAAGTTCAAATTCAAAAACCTTACAAATTGTTCAGTGAAATAACATTTGCAAGGTTCTCATATTTTTGTTTTGTTTCAAAAACATTTTTTTTGTTAATTTCCGTTTAAAAACAATATGAATATGCGTTGAAATAAATTAAGTTATCTAAAACACAAAGGAAAAGTTAAGAAACGAGGTAAAATGTGCCAAAAATGATCAAAATTTTCATTGTTTTGATTCATTTTTTGGACTCTGGAACAAAACATGTAATTTTGTATGGATTCTTTGCCTCGATTTGAATAGATTCGATTTGAGTAGAAATTTTTTGGAACAAAACAACTACTCAAATCGAGGACCCC